AGATGCCACATCAGCCATGTTAAAAAAAAAAAAAGAAAGCTGTTTCAAGGAGTTAGTTTCACATCCAAAAGTTTTACGGTAATTGGTCAATGGCTTTCCACAAGCCTGTCTTTTCATGTTTTCATTCTGAAAAGTTGGGAGTATTTTTCTACATCAGTCATACCAGTATCAGAAAGAATATTATGTGCAAAAATATGCTTCAGGGTTACCTGCATTTTCTTAAGGCTTGAGTTTTCTCATCTCATTTATGGTTAATCCAAACAGAATGCATTTTTACTTCTTTCCCAATTCATAAATAAAAAGTTAAGGCTATGAAAATTCACATCCTTTGCACTGAAACAGTAATTCTGAGTGTGAAGTGCAGCACATATGAAGCAGGAGTGGAAAAAAGCCTAGCTAAATTAAGTAACAGCCACCTACCTACCTCTGCTCTAATTCAATTGCTTGTGATTGTGTGATGATACCTTGCAGTGCAGCTTTCAATGAATTTGGAATGGATTCTCAGGAAACTTAAATCATTACGTAAACAAGACCCGATATCCTCATGCAATACAACTCAAACTGTAAAAACGTTAAGAGCAGTTAGTACAGCCAACAACAGAAAAATGGGGTCACGACTCATTTACACAGGAAAGTTCTACCTCTTATGCTGGTTAGACTCACTATCTGCACTTGTCCCATGGCAGCTTGTTACTGAGCTTAGAACTCATGCCCAAGCAAACCAGGAACTCGCAAACCAAAGGATTTTTATACTACAAAAATTGGGATCAAAGGAGGCTTACACTAGTATACCTTATATGTGCTTAACTGCACACTTTGGCTTACACATTTCAGTTAACTTCTCTTTGTAGACAAACCATGAGAAACTTTGTCCTGCTTTTTATAGCACTACTACTTACCGATGTGAAACTTCCATCTTCTGAGTGTTATGAAAAACCCTTCATTATTTCTGCAAAGCTAACTGTATTAAGCACCCCAACTATATAGAAATGATTGTATCCCAAAGATTTTATAGCATTACTACTACATAAAAAAAACCATAATAGTTTGCAAAATAAGCTCATGCAAAGCCACGTTCATTCTCTTTTGGGGGGCTTGTATTTATTTCTACTACACGTAACAGGAGACTTGCAGAATCACACAGTGGCTTAATAGACACTAATGGCACGCTGCCTTTATAAGCTTACAGGGTAAGATTTTCTACTCATTATAGCATCACCAAAGCAAGAAAGCCTTCTCCAAACATCATGCATCTCACTTGCACCTATATTAATTGAGCTGGCTAATGTATTTCTACATGGTTTGTCCTCTGGCCTTTCAAAAGAAATCCCAAACCTCTCAGAGGTCAGCACTGTGGGTTCTAATAGAAGTCTCATGAAACTTTAAGGAATGAAATCCTCGCTGGGCTTCACAGCAAGGAGAAAAACTGAAGAAAGGGTGGAGTGGAAGAACACAGGTATACAAAAGCTGAGCAAAACACACAAACAAACGAACGGTAAAATTTGTACTTCTAAGCTTGTCAAGGCACATATGTCAATTAGACCAGACAGGTACGCTTAAGAGGTACAAGACTTTAAGGGACTTCCCACAGACATAGAGATTGAACAACATGCAGTCCCAATTCAATTGGGACTTGAATAAATTGAATAAATTCAATTCTCCAGCCAGCACTGATCCATTCTATAGAAGGATATATCAGTGCCATGTTCCAGAAGTTGTCTTGTTCTCCACTGAGTTTGTTACCTGAGAACTTCTACAGTCGCTAACAGTGATACTTTCCTCAATGCTCTTCTGCGTACAGATACAAAATCTAGTATCTTATGAAGAGATCTGGATCTCTTACTCCAGTAAGAGCATTCCAAACCTTGCAATAGGAAAAAGAATAAAATAAGGGTCATATTGAATAGATCCTTCAATTTCTAAGATATCTGTGAATTAATAAGGTTTTCTGCATTCACTGTCAAAGCAGGATTAATACCATGGCAAAGAATCTGTAAACCTTGTTTTAGCAAGAGTATCCTTCCCCAAAGAATAGCTTCATACTGAACAGCGGTCTTTGCCAGAGCTATGGCACGTCTTCGCTATTTACCTTCACAAATTTGGCAGGAGGAAGGGGTTATAGACTCACACAAAGCTCTGTACATAGGGCTGCAAACTGCAGTTCCTCGCTTAGATGCCAAGAGGATCTGAGTTGCATGTTCAGTAAAAAGCTGTGATCCAGAAAATTCCCTTTAAAAAAAAGAAAAAAAAAAGACAGGACTCATGACTATATGAACACAGTTTCTTTTTAGACTTGCATCAAATACTGTGAGGTAAGAAGCGCTGAGGCTTACCTGGCCAGAGGGGTAAAAAAAACAGGCTTGATTTAGAAACAAGCACAGGCTTCTCTTTTCCTCAGCCCAGATGAAACTATCATATTTAGTGCCTATCAATGTTTTCCAAGATAAGAACATCAGCAGTTAGGCAGCTCTTCAAGAACACAGGAAACAGCTTAGTTTGTGCATTCCCTCTAATGAATCATGACATCACATCTGAGAGACTAAACTTGAGTCAAAATTCCCATCCCAGATAAAGGTAAAGGCATTTCCAAATTCTGTCTCCACAACCCTAGTATGCCAAAGCAGCTGGAGCAAAACCAGCCACCCAGCTCTCCAGCTAGCATTCCTCCCATGGGGACAAAGTAGTATCACCATCTTCTAAGCGCGTAAGATCATACTCTGCACGTTAAGTCTGCGATGGGACAACGTACAGTTAATACAAAGATGAGTGAAGTTGAGGCAAAAGCCAGACTACCTAGATGATTTGCAAAGCCTATGATTGTTAAGTACAGAGCCTGAATATTCCTGCTTGAAGCTCCTGAAGGGGAACCAATCTCAACAGCAGCCCTTTAAAGAGAGCCACCTACTCTCCCAGAGTCAATCAAGTACAACCCCAGATCAAAGATTAGTTAAAAGCTGTTGAAAAACAACATGTTCTGATCAACACTGTACGTCTCCTGATGAAGCTTCCTCCATTCACAAACTAAAAGCCTTCACCATTTGAAGAAGATACTGAATTCTCACCAACATTTCCAATGGACAGACAAAAAAAAAAAAGTTATTTTGGGCGAACAGTAATGTTTACCAGACATCCTTAAAAAAATTCTCAAGTATTACTTTACACAGAGCTGTCCTATCAAATTCACTGTTTCATTTCTGGCACCTATCACTGTAAAGATTACGTTTGTCACCTCTTCTAACCTAACCGAGACAGACAGCGGCTCTAGAAATAGTTACAGCAGTTACTGCTGCTCACCTGGAAGCTACTAAACTCTTTTGCCCACAACTGATTCACCTTAAACAAACCACACGTCACCTCACCACAGTACAAAAAAAGCTGACAACTTTGAACTACACTGCAGAAGACTGAGTGCTTGCTTCTAAATGACATAGGAGACCAAAGTTACTGCAGCATTAACTAAGGAGAATGGTAAAGTCACAATTAACGGGCACTGGCTAAACAATCACAAACATCGACTTATGAACTGTTCTATACACACCTGGAAAAAATCTGTCTACACTCCGAATTGCTCTTCCTAAGGCTACATCTGAACTGCTATTCTTTGGCAGGCTAACCTGGACACTTAAAATTACAATTTCTCAGCTGTCTTATTCCAGATTATTTTGAAGCCAGCTGGTTTTACACCAGACTGCATGAATTGACAGCAACGCGTTTTCACTTCACAATAATATGGGCAGCCAGTCTTTACCTTCCGTACCTTCTCTTTACATCGTATGTTTACCCAGTTTTGTTGCCTGTGTTACCATGCTTTCTCTGCATTGGTCCTGCACTGTTGCCAATATATAAGCCCTCAGTCTTATCTTGAAAATATTTTAGCCATAATTCCAACTATCTTTTAAATATGCCACAATTGCCTATCGAGATCTGAATCCAACAGTTCTCCAATTTATGCCCATTTTATATTTATATTGAAGGCACCAGGATAAAATAGCATCCATTCAATGTCACCGAGAACTGAACAGCGTAAAGCAAATTATTCTTATGAGTAGCAGTTTTTTGGTTTTCAGGCTTGAAGGAATTATGTAGTCTGTGTTCTAGTGAAATAAACTTTATACCTTAAGATCCTTTATTGATCATGGATTATTTATCTCATTCCATTGTTCTAATGCTAATTTGTTTCATTTAACTCTCTAACAGAGATGGTTGTCTTAGCTGAGTTTTTTTGTATAAAACTACACAAAAACCAGGGAAAGAAACTGAATTTTGATTTTTTTTGGACACCTATAAACACAGCAAGAAATCTTCAGCTGAATTCCACCTTCTACTAAGCTTTAAGTTTTATTAGGGACTTGCAGGCTGAAGATTAATTCTGAATCACTAGCCACATCTGATGGACCTACGATATTCTGCTTCGGATAATGCCTGTAAA